CTCTGTGATCTTTTCCCCTTCATCATGAACTCACTTGTTGCTCTCTTTCCTCCTGAGGCTCACTTTTTCGGCTCATCATCATCCAGCCGACACATGGTGTCATTCATGATCGGACCCTCATCCAGCCAAAGCACTGAAAATCTTATCTCATGGCTCATCTGTCCCTCTGCAATTCACAAGAATCACTACTCCTCGGAGAATACTGGTCAGACTCTAGTGAAACTTTAAGCTTCTGTGATCTACTGCATCAGAGATGTTTTACTCTGGAGACCTGCACGCGAGCCCACCTTTGTAAGTTGCATACCCATAATCCTTAACTCTGCATAAGCAAATACCTACACAAAAGGACACGAGTGCAGTACCATGAATCCCAGCTGAGTGTCCTTGTTAGTTGTAAGCCATGTTAATGAGCCGTTCATTAAGTCTGGGGATTAGGCTGAGGGAAGGCTGTCTCGGACTGTTAGCTGGTCCCAACTTGAAATATGCAACAACATTTGGATGGACAGTCTAGAGAAGATGGCTGTGTAGACGCACACATCGCAGACACTCTGATGACTCCTCCATTATTCTCCCAGCACAGCTATTCCTTAAAATGCTGTAAAATTTGGTGGAAACATCAGTGAACTGTTCAACACTTTGGTGAACTCTTGACTTTTTGTTTCAGATATGAGCACATAAATACTGTTCTGAGAGGTAAAAAGTTGTCACCCTGACCCACAAAGGGCCCCAAACCACTGTTTGCACCTGCATGGGCTCAACCCAGATGACGGAGGCCTAGCTGCACTACTTCTTTTATTTACATCTGAATCTCCCTCATAGTCAGTTTTCAGTACACTAAATATTTTCTCAGTAGCTGCCTTAGTCTAATATAACCTATCAATCAGGTAGTTATTTTGAGTTTTAACGCTGTGCCAGAATGCAGTGCTTTATGGGTTTAGCCACATTTAAATCAATATTAAATGACAATAATTGTTTTACCGAAGCTTTAAATTTGAATCACAGCAGCTCAGGCTTGATGTGACAGATTAAACCTGAACGGTTTTTAAGTGGCCAAATACTCCAACAAAGAAACACAAGCTTATTTTTCTGGATTTCTTCACAAATAAAGGGGAAACCCAAAGAATTTTGAAGGATTATAATTTTCCATGTCAATTGTAATCGTGGCCATGAAAGATTTTTAAGAAAAAATGTATGTGTTAATGGGTAATGCAACGATTAACTCCGGAGTATTTAAAACTGTGATGTTACATGAACTTCTAACGTACACGTGCTGTCACATCACTGTATTTCCGCAGTCTTCAGCTTGCAGGGAGCTCTGACGGTGATCAGCCAGTCCAGCAGTGTTGCAGCAGCTCTGCCTGTCACAGACGCTTTCTGTCACATGTAAATTGTAGCATCAGATGATCTATGGCTGCTGCTTCGTGTGACCTATAGCGATAATATGTCTGGGATTAATATTTGGACGCTCCATGATCTCATCTGGCGGGCCTCTCTCCGGGATATTGACCGCGCTTTTGTTTGGAGATGCGTCTTCATTTCTGCCACTCCCGGACCTTCATATTCCCAAAATCCCACCGAGCTGCCTCTCCGCTTTTGTACCGGCCGGTGACCTTTTTTCCCCAGAGCAGTCCGACTTGATTAGCACATCAGGCGGGACAATGAGTGGCCGCCATGTACACAGCCATTACCCAGATCCCTTTATCAGTGTCCTGTAATTAAAATGTCACCGTTTAATTTTCGAGGCATCGCTTCCCCGCACTCATTCCTCCAATAAAAAAGTGCGATCGAAATGCTCTTTTCACTGGAAACCAAAAAAAAAAGGATGCGGAGAAAGTGTTTAAGTGAGCCGAGCAGGGAGGGATCAATAGGCCCTTTAGTCCGAGAGGAGGATTGATTGGTCTCTAAAATGGGATTTATAGGGGTCACGCTTTTATAGGGTGCTGATACAACTGTTAATTATAAAACATTTGGCCTCTTATTAAATCTGTCCTGATTGAGGTGGGCTTGATTTATCTCTTTCAATCACGTGACAGGATTCAAGCATAAAAGTATGAATATGCTTCAGCTTCAGTCCCACAAAGGCAGAAAAAACCCCGCAGTGTTTGAACAGTGTAGTTTTTTCTAATGCACTTTTTTTCTTTTTAGACACATTTGTTTCCCCACAGTGGGTGTTTTTGACAAGAGCCTTCAGACATTTCATTTGCTTTTTTGCTTTTTTGCACTGGACATTGCAAAAAGTGGTAAAAAGAAAGAAAAAACAGACGATTAAATGGGAGGTTGTTAATAAAATTAATCAAGCTTAAAAGAAAAAAAACAGATAGAAATCACTGTCACATTTCTTCAGCACAGAGTTTAAAGGAGGATGATGAAGCGAGGTTTTTGTCTGTGTAATTTTTTTTTATTTCAAAGTGCTCGACATAAAGCAGAGAGACTCTTTTTAAGCGCCTAAATACAAAAAGAAATCATAATGAGCCAAAACAAAGAGGATGGAAACTCTCCCAGTGCAGAGTGGGAAAGGTTACATTCTTCGTCACCACTTTAAACTCTGAATAAACTGGAGCAGATAACAAGTGTGAGAAAGACAGAAGACAGTAAAGAGAAAAGGGAGAGAGCCGAGGACCAGGATTTGCCCACGTGGTGTTTCGTGCCCCTGGACTTTTGCGCCAAAGTCTCAAGTGTTCCGGTTATAAATTAGCAAAAAGGAAAAAAAAGTCAAGAGTACAAAGTGAGAACCAAAAGATGATTAGACAGAACAATCAATAAATCAACCAGTCGATAAATAAATAAATAATAAAACGCTGTTGTGTTTAGGCCAAATAGTCCCAGCAGTTCACCTGTGGTGAGCTGAGGCGCATTAATATTTCAGGTTAAAGGTTTGTTTAAACAATTGGGCGCATATCAATGAGGCCCGCTAATTTGTAGGCCATCCAGCAGTAAGAGCTCGCCTAAAATTACCGCTGAAATGTCTAATTAAAAACCCCCCTCGCTGCTGAGCCAGCCACGTCAGCTCACGTTTCCCCCGGAATATGCGGCGACAATGGCTGCATTCAAGTCGGCGGTCTAAATAATTAAAAAGAGAGGAATAATTACAGTATAAAATTGTAATTATTGCAGGGGGGCTGCTGGGGGGTGGGGCGGTGGTGTGTGTGTGGAGGGGGGGCTGTTGATGGTGAAAGAGGAGAGGATGCGCTTAGGATCAGGTTCAGCATCAATATTGCAGGGAGGTAAAGCTGGGGAGCTCAGGCTGCACGCGGGCTGATGATACTTCATACACGCTCGTCACTCGCTCTGCACTCCAAGCCACACTTCATACACTCTCCACGCGCAGGCACTCAGCTCGAGAGTGTGAAGCATGTCCCGGTTTTATTCGCCACGAGCTGCTCCGCTTCCTGCCTGCTGTCAGTGCGTGTTTGTGCAGCGGTCGGTGCGATGGCAGAGCCGGGCTTTGCTCGCCCTCCATAAGTGCCCAGTAAAGTTGTCATGCGCGGGGCACTCTGGGGATGTTCTGCAGCTGGTTTGTCTGTGAAATGAGCCAAAGCACCGGCTTTTAACACGTCATCATTTTCAGAGGAAACATCTGAGCTGATCTGAAGAACAGGTCACGCAGGAGCTGTGAGACCTTTCTGACTTTTTTCTGCGAATGTTCCTCAAACAGCATCAGAGAAATTATTTGTATCGAACATAATGAGTCAAATCTGACTCCTCTCTGATTGTTGATTATAAGTTAATGTTTCATCTTCCACAAGTGAACTTTTAGATGAACTTCTGTTTTTTTTAGACAGTGTAAATAATGGAGTCCTGATACTGATTAGTGAGAGCAATAAAGCATGTCTCTCTCTGTGTGAGTGAAACTGGGACTAAAGGTGTATTGAGTGAGATGTTTTATGGCTGTCTTTATGTGACATCACAGTGCTGGATGTAGGAGATGTGTTTTGTTTTTTACTTTAATTTAGCCTCCGAAAGGGTGTAGTCCTGAGACAAACGTGTGGCTGATGTAGGAAAGCAAATCTGACTTTGTATTATTTACTTGATTTCCAAATATTGCTCTAAAACGGCATGGCATTATTTCAGTGACACTATTATCGATCCGGTTATTACAGGACTGAATCAAATATTCTGTTGATCTGTGTGTGTGTGTGTGTGTGTGTGTGTGTGTGTGTGTGTGTGTGTGTGTGTGTGTGTGTGTGTGTGTGTGTGCATGTGAGACAGCCTGAGGCATCATCATCATGAGCTCACTCCAGATTACACGCAAAGACTCTAAACACAGTCACTTCCAGGTCCAAGCGTCTTTCTCTGCTTTCTGTTTTTCAAATCATTTTCTCCTTTCTGACTCCCCCCCCCCTTTCTGCTTCTTTTTTAATCGCCAAAGCCTGGGATTGATTTGTGTGGCCGGCGTGGAAGCCGAACAGATGGCCGTGTAACTTGATGAGCCCGGGCCTTTAGTCATTCCTGGTGCCCTCCACTGTGCCACTCCGGTTTGTCGGTGAGCTCCAACTTCGGCGGAAATAATACAAGATCTGTGTGATTAGATCGGAGCTTATCATTAATACACACCGAGCCCGATCTGTTAAGACCAGCGGTGATTACCTCCCCGACAACATTATGGGATCCGGGTGGAGGCCCCCTAGAGGGTCCTTGACTGGGTTCAGAAAAGGGTCACGACTGTGGCGTTATAGTTTTCATTTATTTTTGGTATCTTTGTGCAGATATCTCCGATGATGTCACGATGTCTCCTTCTTAATTTATATATAATAGCAAATAAATAAATATATAATCACGAGTCTGAGGGCCAAAATGATTTTCCATCTGGGGTCAGCAGGGGCCTAATTGATATTTTTGTTTCTGATCATGTTTGAGCTGCAGAGAGAGAGAGGGGGTGAGACTCAGAGAGAGAGAGAGCCATTACACACCAGCATGACAAGACACAGAGAGAGGGGAGAGAGAGAGAGAGAGAGAGAGAGGTGCCATGTGTTTCCTGTCTGCGCGCCAGTCACCTCCCCTTGCTCCGACAGGATGGAGGTCCCGCGTGCTGCTGCCTGCCCTGAAATGCACTGAAATAAAGGCTCCTCCTCAGCGCTTTCACTGCCAGTGCGCCTTCTTTTCTCCATCCTCTCTCCCTCTCTGGACTCTCTCAATTTTTGTCTGTTTATTTTCATCTTATTTATTGTTAATATTGATTTCCCAGCCTGACTTCCCCTACGGTGTGTTGCTTTTACAGGAGAGAAAGGTATGTCTCTGTTTTTGTTTTCCTTATCACCAAATGCATCCTAAAATTACAACAACAATTTACAACAGCTAATTTAATTTAATTTCTCGCGATTTGACCGTAACTCGGCTGTATCAGTGGCTTCGTAATACTTCAAAATAGTAACTAAATAAAAGCAGGGGTTTGCGTGCGTTTTGGCACAAGAGACGCAGAAAGTTAAGTACGCGCAGGGGAACGTGAGATAGGCCCGCTTCAACCTAATTTCGAGCAGTCGTCTGCGGCTAATCTGCGCAGAAGCTTTAATTATATATGGGCCTGGTCTTTTATTAACAATGCAAAGACGCACGCTTGGACCTGTGTAATTAGCTCGCGGGAAAGCGGCTTATAGTTGTTCTTTTCCTCTCCGCTAAGCGCATTGACGCAGCTCAGGCTGTATTTTCCTTCTGTCCTTATCCACCTATAAGATTCTTATGTGACCCTTAAGTAGTTCCCCCTTAACGGCTGAGCCGATTTCAGGATAAAGAGTAGCGGTAGAAGTAGATCCACCAACGCGCAGGAGCCTGTAGGACAGGAGAGGAGGCAGAGAGCACGGAAATCATGCTGAAATAATAAATACGTCTAATTAATTTCACTTAAAAAGTATTATTATTATTATTATTATTATTATTATTATTATTATTATTATTCAAACAGTTAAAAGACCCTCTGCTATTGCTTCATTTTAATTATGACACAATTGTAATAATTACTTTTATATATATAATTTTTGGTCAATGCCGATTATAATAATACGGAAATAATATATATTTAATATTTGCCTTTCAAATGGTTATTATTTAGGCGTTTTAAAGTATTTTTATTCGTTTTCTGTGATGTTTTTCATTTTTCTCGCAGACTTGAGTCATGCGAAGATTCAGAACACGGTAAACATATAGTGCTTGCGTAAACAACCCCACGGGCCTCCGGTTCACTGTCTTGTCTTCTGTTTGACTCACAGGCTTCCAGGGATGGAGTCGATGCCCGGACAGCTTCGAGACGCGGGACGAGACGCTAGCTCTTCCCCGAGTTTAAAGCAGGGCGCGCAGAGCTTTTCCAGCCCCGGCTCTCTCAAACCGAACCAAGTGAGTGAGACATCCCTGTACGGGGTGCCCATCGTGTCTCTTGTCATAGACGGCAAGGAGAGACTGTGTCTGGCGCAGATTTCCAACACCTTGCTGAAAAACTACAGCTACAACGAGATACACAACCGCCGGGTGGCTCTGGGCATCACCTGTGTGCAGTGCACGCCGGTGCAGCTGGAACTCCTGCGCCGGGCCGGGGCTATGCCCATTTCCTCCAGGCGCTGCGGCATGATCACCAAAAGGGAGGCCGAGAGGCTCTGCAAGTCCTTCCTGGGAGCGCACAGCCCGCCAAAGCTACCAGAAAATTTTGCATTTGACGTGTCTCACGAGTGCGCATGGGGCTGCAGGGGCAGCTTTATACCCGCGAGATACAACAGCTCCAGAGCGAAATGCATCAAGTGCAGCTTTTGCAACATGTATTTCTCTCCCAATAAATTCATTTTCCACTCCCACCGCACCCCAGAGTCCAAGTATCTGCAGCCGGATGCGGCCAACTTCAATTCGTGGAGACGCCATTTGAAACTGACGGAAAAAAAATCCAATGATGATATTTGCCACGCGTGGGAGGATGTGAAGGCCATGTTCAACGGGGGGAGCAGAAAGAGGACTCTGCCCATGAGCGGCTCGGGGATGTCCTCGCCCATGAAATCACAGGCCTCGTCCAGCCTGGTTCAAAGCAGCTCCCCGGAGATCCCCCACAAAACATTGCGCTGCGACGAGGATCAGGGGAGCAACAACCTGAGTCTGGCGAGGGGCGAACGGAGTTACCCGGTCATCCCGGTGCCCAGCAAGAGCTTTGGCATGCTTCAGAAAATCCCCCCACCTCTGTTCCCTCACCACCCCTACGGCTTCCCTAGTTATGGGCTGTGTCAGAAAAAGAGCGACGGGGTGCCTGACGTGAACAAAAACAACATCCCCGGTGTGTTTTGGCCCGGCACAAAGGATCCGATCTACCCGGCCTTCCCCATGTTTTGGCCTGCAGCTGGAGGCCTACCGATGCCGCCCTACCCGGGCTCCCCACCCAAACCTCCCCCAGAGCTGCTAAGCGTCCGGCCGGCCGAACTCGACCTGTCGGACCAGAGCGAGAGGGGCGCAAACACACCAAAAGACACCAACCACCACCCTCACCACCAGCAGGACGGCGGAGAGCGCTGCCCCAGCTCCCAGTCCTCCTCCACCCGGAACGACGAGGACAAGTCCGGGGACGAGACCTCTCAGAGGAAAATCAGCTATATCTCCGCCTTTAGACCCGTCGTCAAAGACGCAGAGACCATTGCCAAACTGTACGGCAACCGGGACTCCTACGGGATACGCCCCGGCTACCTGTCCCCGGATTTTATCAGCGAGAGCTCCAGCTACAGATCGATATCACCGGACAGAGACAGCGTGGTGGACGACGACGACGACGACGACCTGGACGTGGACGTGGAGTCCAACCGGGGACAAGGCGAAGAGGAGCCGATCCGGATATCACCGGGAGGAGACCCCCGCGACTCCCCTGTACCGGAGCGGGTGTGCTCGGGTGCTGAGGAGAGTCAGGAGCAGGCCGATGCAGCCTCAAGCCCCGAGGCGGTCGCAGCATCACCGGAGGATTCCGCTCACACTGGGTCATCGGATGAGGACAGACAGATGCGTAATGGCTCCCCTCTTCATGAAGTAAGATTAGATTAAATGAAACTTTAATGATCCCCTTGGGGCGAGTTGAATTGTCACAGTTGTAGAAAATAAGATTAGAGAATTAGAGAGTGCAATAACATATTAGCCTCATTCAGACTTTGAGAAAGGAAATTCCAGATGTAGATATGTGTTTATTATTTATTATAGATATTAGTCGTAAGAGTGGTTAGTGGGGAGTGTTTGGACCACCTGCAGTGAAACTGCCTGAGCCCACGATTTTCTCCCAAATTCAGTTACAGCAACATTTTTTAATAGATACAACATAACACACACACACACACACACACACTGTTTTTTCCCGTTTTCAATGTTAATTAAACCACTGTATCCCAATTTGCACAAATCTGCAGAAATATTAATTAAAATTAAAATACTTTAATAACCCCGCTTCTTTCATCATCTTCACGTCAAGCCACTCCTTTTATTTTCTTAAAAAAATAAAAGAGCGTAAATTGCGTGCACCAAATGACCAATAATTGCTGTGCCGCTATTAAAGACGATTGTTCCTTTTACAGGTGTATGCTCATGAAAAGGACGGCCATGTGCTTCTGAACGAGCCTTCCACGTTTGGGTCCAAACAATCGAGCAGCCCCCGCAGATCCAACGGTAATTACCGATCCGGGTTATTAATGCGAGCGGGAGCGTCTCCTCGTCCTTTACCTGAAAATGTTTGTGGCTTGTTCGCTTCTAGGTGTTCACCACGTGTCTGAAATACAGACCCAGCGCACTGCAACGTCCTACCAGGAGCAGGACAGACAAGGTCGTTAATCATTCTGTTATCTGCTGTTTTAAAAATCGTCTTTACTTTTAATTGTCGCCACATCTGACCACTTTGGGCTGGTTCGATACTTTTATTCAGCAGCTTTTTATAGTGTTACAGTTAATCAGGTTTTTATTGTTAGTTTTTTTTATTTGTGCGCAGCCGATGGAGCTTTACGCATTGACATCAGCGTGCACGAAAGAGACCTGCAGAACATGGCTAAAGGTAGGAGGCCCTTTTCAAGCCCAAATATGGATTAGAATTGAGAAGGAGGTGATATAAAGTGCCAGTAATTGTTATTCCATTTTTTTTTTTATTTGAGTACACACAGGGTGTGTTAAAAGCTGTGCTGGTCACTGCATCTAATCAGGACTAAATTTAAGTGTTATTTTAAATATTAACGAGTTTGCTTAAGCAGTTTGGATTGCATTAAATCTAACAAGACCGCAAACATTTTCAAATATAGTATTTTTTATTAAATGAACATTAAATATTGAGTTCCACCTCATTTTAAACAGAGCTAAATACCCCCAGCCTGTTAAAGATGGCGTGCCAGAATCCAAATGTGCATTTCCATTTTTATTTATTTAAATTTTTTTTAGGCCTAAAGTGTTTCCATAGTTGTTAACCACTTAATCACAAGATGTAGGAGTTTTGACTTATTATTATAAGAGGAAATCGTTTAGAGGCTATTAATATTTTAACGAACAGAGCCATAACCCCGAGGCACGGCAGCTAATTATTTTACAACGCTTGGAAAAACCCTGGGACTCCATTATTATCGTCTCCACCTCCAGGCAATGCATGGCAATTACTGTGGCAGCGAGAAAGGAAAACAGTGAAAATGGTTGTTATCGAGGCTGTGAACGCACCTGAGAGTGCGGCTCGCATAAATCTTTATGTGCTGAAAATTCAAGAATATATCATTGTAAGTGGAAGTGTGTGTGTGTGTGTGTGTGTGTGTGTGTGTGTGTGTGTGTGTGTGT